AGGACCATGAATCTGATTATTATGAAAAGCAGAACATGAAACAGGCCATTATAAAACGCAGAACATGAAACTGGCCATTTTGAAGAGGGGACCATGAATCTGGTCATTATGAAAAGCAGAACATGAAACTGGCCATTTTGTAAAGAGGAACATGAAAGTGGCCATTATGAAAAGCAGAACATGAAACTGGCCATTTTGAAAAGTGGGACCATGAATCTGGTCATTTTGAAAAGCAGAACATGAAACTGGCCATTATGAAAAGCAGAACATGAAACTGGCCATTTTGAATAGGGGACCATGAATCCGGTCATTTTGAAAAGTGGGACCATGAATCTGATCATTATGAAAAGCAGAACATGAAACTGGTCATTATGAAAAGCAGAACATGAAACTGGTCATTATGAAAAGCAGAACATGAAACTGGCCATTTTGTACAGAGGAACATGAAACTGGCCATTTTGTGAAGAGGAACATGAAAGTGGCCATTATGAAAAGCAGAACATGAAACAGGCCATTTTGAAGAGGGGACTATGAATCTGGTCATTATGAAAAGCAGAACATGAAACTGGCTATTATGAAAAGCAGAACATGAAACTGGCCATTTTGTACAGAGGAACATGAAACTGGCCATTTTGAAAAGCAGAACATGAAACTGGCCATTTTGTAAAGAGGAACATGAAACTGGCCATTTTGTGAAGAGGAACATGAAAGTGGCCATTATGAAAAGCAGAACATGAAACTGGCCATTTTGAAAAGTGGGACCATGAATCTGGTCATTTTGAAAAACAGAACATGAAACTGGCCATTATGAAGAGCAGAACATGAAACAGGCCATTATGAAAAGCAGAACATGAAACTGGCCATTATGAAAAGCAGAACATGAAACTGGCCATTTTGAAGAGGGGACCATGAATCCGGTCATTTTGAAAAGTGGGACCATGAATCTGATCATTATGAAAAGCAGAACATGAAACTGGACATTATGAAAAGCAGAACATGAAACTGGCCATTTTGACGAGGGGACCATGAATCTGGTCATTTTGTAAAGTGGGACCATGAATCCGATCATTATGAAAAGCAGAACATGAAACTGACCATTTTGTAAAGAGGAACATGAAACTGGTCATTATGAAAAGCAGAACATGAAACTGCCCATTTTGTAAAAAGGAACATGAAACTGGCCATTATGAAAAGCAGAAGTGAAGAATATTTTGAGGATATGGTCTCAAAACAGTATGAATTTGAAATCATCAAATTGTCAGTTTTAGAAAGTAGAACCCATTAAAAAAAGGTCATTTTGAAAAGTTGGATAATGAAACTGGCCATTTTGGAATGCGAGATAATAAAACTCCATTTTAGAAACCTTTGAGCAGTCCCATAACTTTTCCTGAGGGACTGTGCTGTGAGGTAATGAAAGTAGACATTTTGGAAAGCTGTTATCATTGAAAAGGGCAAGGAAATTATTCATATCCAGTGTTATGTATGAAGATTATATTGCTTATTGGTTCTTGCCAGTTGTCTTGGTAATATCAACAATTATACAAACATATGTGCAATTGTGTTTTTATTACTTAAAACATCACTCTTTTTTTTGAAATACAGAGTGAAACAAAACTTGAAAAAATACCCCTACATGCGCAATAAAAATAAGCTGTGGAAGGAAAGTACAAATAATTAAACATTCTCAAATATTTTATTGTTAAAGAGGGTTGTCAGCAGAGGCATCATATAATTTAATATTAAAAGTGTTGCATATAATATCCACAAGAGAAAATCAATAATAGCACTTAAACCTTTTTATTTTTTGAGTCAAATTTTTGGTCTGAATCATACTTTTCAATATTTTTTTTGGAATGGTTAGAATAAGTTCAAATCCAGAATATATAGTTTGTTGAGTTGAGAACTGAAATCTAAATTAAGAAAGTTATTTATTGCCAAACAAAATGCATAGCAATCATGTAAACATAGCTAAACATACATTAATCATCAAATATTACATCCTAAACTGAAAAATTTGCAATTCAAATTCTATCCAGAGATTTTTTGGTTTCGAATTTGCATATTGGTGGTCACACTGCATTATGGGTAACTGAGAAAATAGAATTACAGCTGTATAATCTCAATAAATTAGTGATCATGGAATACACAACTTCAAATATTGTCGATAAATCTTTCGCACATTTGGATTTCAGAAAAGCAGCATAATAAATAAGATAAAATTAAGGTCAAAGCACTTTTCGTCATGCTCACATAAAACACATATTGCATAGAAATATACATTTATATAAAAAGCATTCAATATATACATAAAATCACAGAATTTTTCAATTAAAAAATTACACTTTACACCCATTACATTCTGCATGAAATAGAAAATTCCAAATTATTATTAGTTAACTATTCTACAACCCGCTCTTGCCAAAAAAAATATTTGCGATAATTTTAAATGCCCTTTGCTGTAATGGATAAATGTAAGGGTTATGACACTTGGAAGTGGAACTCAAAAGATTATTGTTGCATTTTTAGGAAGATATTCGATTGCAGGACAATTTGCTAAAAATATTGCAATGTCACAAAACTTTTTCTTCTACAAAATAGAATTCTGTAAATTGACAAAGGAGTTGAACTTGATTGGTTGATTTAATGTTGTGACACTCACCAGCAACCACACTTATGTTTTGAAAGCTTGTGAGAAGTATTTTGTTTTTCAAAGCCTGCTTATTCACAAAAAGTACCACCAAATGTGCACAATACCATGGTAGGAAACAATAAAATATAAAGGTTTGAATTTTAAAAGTTCAGTTTAATGATATTCAAGGTATATGATGTTGGCCCTGGGCCACCACAAATTTAGTAAATTAAAAATATTACCATTCATTGAATTAGAATGAACTCTATGCCCTTTGCTATGGCAACAGTTGTTGTTAAGCTGAGTAGTCAAGCACTCCATTACACCATATGCCATGACTTGCAAAACATAGAACCAGCAGATTTGCAATGAAATCCCCACTGGCCTATCAAAATTCAAAATACAAGTATTTTACAGTCAACCAACCCCACCCACAAAATGGGGAAAATACGTATGTGATTATTTTTTTTCACAAAAACAAATATTAATTACAAAGTGAAACTTGTGACTGGAAATGTCAACTGTGCAAATCTTCAAAGATAGACGCTACTGGAAACGTTTTTGACAAGGACTTGCCTCTTTTAAGATAAACTGAATTATGATTCTATCACAAATCAACCCACCCAAATTTGAAATATTATCGTGGAAACAACCTTGCAGAATATTAAGAGCATTTTAACCCTGCTTCACACGCATCAAATCAGAACCCCCCCCACCAAATTAAAGTTAGGAAATATAAAAAATATCTTGATAACATCAGAATACAATTCATCAAGTGCATAGTGTAGATAAAGTTTTTCTAAATAAAGTTCAAGTCAGCTAAAATTTATGTTTATTCCCATATTATGTTGTACATTCTGACAAAAAAACCCATCTAGAACTGTGTGCTGAGGAAAAATCCCAAATTTGCGCGAGACTGGTTAGACAGGTCATTGTATTTGCTACATGTAGTGTATGATATTTTAGGTACAGACTGTTGTGCAATACTGTAAAATACTTTATTTTAACTGGAATTAATTTTCGCTGAAAAACTGAGAGTTTTGTATGGAATTTATTTTCACTGATTTTTGATGAGTTGTATGTAAAATATAGAAAAAAAGGTATATTCGCTGGATTATATTTTCTCTGAATCATTCCTTCAGCAAAAATAGTGAAAATTAATTCAAAGCGAAATTAAAGTATTTTACAGTGAGCTAAAATAGAATACATGGGAATAAATAGTCATATCATAAAATATTACTGTAAAATCTGCAATAAAAGCAGCGGCTTCTATTAAAATGGTACAATACAACACAGGGGATGCGGCTTCTATTAGAGCATCTACACGTATGAGAAATGGTGAATTTTTGGTGTGCGACTTATTTTAGAAATGCGACTTCTAATACAGATTTTACGGTAATTCATATACATGTACATAGTCATTCTGTTGGGAGCCTAACAAACTTTATATTACTATGATATCATTTAGGAAATTTACAAGACATATTTGTGTGAATTCACAGAAAACATTTGTAACAGGATAAATGTAATTAAAGATATTTAAATACTTTCAAGTGATCAAATCACAAAACTAGTGAAAGCCAAAAAAACTTTGTTACAATATAACAATTGAATATGGTAACCTCTTGGGCATATTTCATATGCCAGTGGGGAAAAAAAAATCTTAAAATAAAACTTCTGATATATTTACTGAATATTCTTAAAAATTTCTGATAATAAATTACTGATATGTTCATACATTCTTTATTCAATATGGCAGTTTGTGAAAAATAATTATATGAATAAAGAAGTCAACTTTTAAATGATTGATATGTGAATGGAATAAATAAGTGCCCTCAATCACAAAATATTCATCATTACTGGACTACCTAAGTGGTTTTCTATGTGGAACTAGAGAAAGAGCAGGAGCAATAATCAAGAAATATCAAAAAAACTTCAAAATGGCAGTTCAAAAAAAAGTAAATAAACAAATAAATAAAGTATTAGCATAGATTTGAAAAACAGAGAGGTTCTATTTTCAAAATTTTCAACATTTGTTTTTTATTGAGTTGAGTTTAGGCACTAAATGAGGTTTCTTCACTACATAGCACCATACAACTAACTTTCTATAAATAAAAGATTTCCGCTTGGTGGTGGTCTAACTGACTTAAAAAAAAATCTCTTCAAAAATGCAAGGAAATGGAATACTTCAGTTAAATATATAACTTGGCAAATCTCGTGAACTTGGAAGAGCATCCTAAATACTCTTCCATTTATGGACTGCCCCCTCAATTTATTGGTATATGGTTGGAATATTCCATTTTCAATGGGGGTGCAAAGAACAAACTACAATGAAACTATTCCATTTGAGCAAACTGTTATAAAATAGAGGGTACAAAAATATTAGCAGCCAACTGCATAGTCAAGCTTTCACTGACGGGTAGAATAATCTATGTTGTAAGGGGGGTGTTATTTAGCCAGAAGTGACTCTGAAACTTTCCAGCGCATCAACTTGTGATTGTAGCGAATCAACTTTGAGTCTAGTCCTATCAAGCCATGTTTGCTGTTCATCAACGGCAATTTTCAAAGCAGCGATAGACGCTGCAAAATCAGTCTCCGTAAAAGTATTCCTTGCTGCGGCTATCCTTTCAGCATATCCAGACAATTGGGAAGTGTCAATCGTTCCAATGTTTTCCAAACTCGCAAGAAGCAATTTCAAGTCAGTCTCCGTCTGAGCCACCATGACCAAAGCCTGATTTGATTGGTCAGTTGCCTCCAGGACTGTTGCTTCTAGCGTATCCATAGTGGTGGCATAATCATTACATATCGCTTGTTGCGGTGCTACTAACGTGGTATTGATGGATTTTACATCCTGAATCAACGAGTCAGTGTCTGTTAATTTCGCGGCAGCTTCTTCGGCAAGTTGGTTAGCTCGGTTATTAGCAGGTGCCACGCTCTATAACAAAAAAAACATAGTATATCTGTAATCATGTTCTACTTTGAGCCAAATTCAATTTTTTCTCTACTGAGCATGTTACTGCACATCAGACAATGCATTATGGGAGAAAAACTTTCATTGTATATAATGGAAAACCATTATCACGATTATATGTCAAATTTTCGAAAATTTTGAGATATGAAGAAAGTATCCCACCATAGTTACCAGTGGAAAAATGCCAATTTTGACCAATTTTCATGTGGCTTGGGACACTTGTATCTTGAAAATGATTTTTGGTATCCTGATGGTATGACCTTGTAATGATGAAAATATGCCGAAAATGACATTTGGCTTGAATCTCTGCAATATACTGTATTTGTGTACAGCACCATATGTTTACAAGTAATATTGTAAAATAACATGTGCATTTATAAGCCTGGCAATTTATACCAATTCATTAAATATTCCAATCCATTGTACTTGTATAACTTCAATACTCCCATCTCATATTGGAATATGCTAATGTGTTTAACTAAGAGTTGTCATGACTACACCAGAAAGCTACATTGTACATAACCAGATAGCGATCCACAAATAATTACCCAACATGCAACAAACACCTACAGTGTAGTAAAAAATGTGTGTATATATGAACAACAGGACTTTATTATATTATAAAAACTATATAATTTCTGAAAGCTACTAACTACCAACCTCTCTTTCAGCTTCAGCCATGTTGAATGCTTCATCTGCGATACTCAAAGCAGAATCGGCATGCAGTTCAGAATCAGATAGTTCACTTTGTATCGCCCTGGCTTCTAATGTCGCACTGTTACTCAATTCTACAACACTTGCCACAGTGTCCATTGCTGTATCAGCTGCCTGCTCAACTTCTGCAATTGTAAATGAATATTTTCAAACCTTTGCCATAGCACATACTCATTGTAATTTAGAATTGTTTCAATATTAGACAGAGCTGAAAAAAACATTGTTTTTCCCACATTCTTGGTCTTGTAATTTTAGATAATTAACCTTTTCATCACCAGACTATAAACGGGACTATTTTGAGAATTTTTGATGAAAAGAGAGAACTGGTGGTGAAAAGGTGAAAAGTGCTTCATTGCCTTGGAAACATAGCAGTACAATTAACATCTTACCGTCTACAATGCTTTCAAAATTTTCTAATGTATTTAACATCTCATTGGCTGCATCGAATGTTGCTCCTGATAATTCCAGAGCACTGTTTGCAAGTGTATATGCATTTGTTGACCTGTCATATCTTGCGGTAACATCTGCGGTGACTGTGTTAACTTCAGCCAGGGTAATGTCAGTTATATTGCCAGCATCTGCCACTTCATCAATGATATATAGATTTTGTTCAAGTGCCTGAGTGGCCTGAAAAAAAAACATTTTTTTTTGCTCAGTTTTTGTTTTAAATCAGAAATTTCTATACAATGAAACCTGTCAAAACCAAACACCAAAGGAATTGTTCAGTTTACATAGGTTTTTTATACAGTGAAACCTGTCTAAACCAAAAACACCAAAGGAATTGTTCAGTTTACAGAGGTGTTGGTTTATGGAGGTCCTCTATACAGTGAAACCTGTCTAAACCAAACACCAAAGAAATTGTTCAGTTTACAGAGATGTTGGTTTATGGAGGTCTTCTATACAGTGAAACTTGTTTAAACTAAACACCAAAAGAATTGTTCAGTTTAATAAAGGTCTTTTTACATATATAGTTTAACTTATCTAAACCAGACAACAAAAAGTTTGGACTGAGAGAATTTGTCAGTTTACAACCAGTATCGTAGTTTCCTGTGAACAACTGATCATTCCAATAAAACTGTATTTTGATTTTTTTTTATTGAAATTTCAGAATTGAATTCGAATAATACTAAAAAAAAACAAACATAGTAAACAGCCAATGAAAAAAAGTAGATGTATCATACGCGACAAGGCTTCAGTAGTTTTATTATGTTTACTAATTAAATATGTATTTTTTTCCTTGCAAAAATTAAAACCCAAAGGTTTATATATAACAGAGGTACATTACTTGGGGTTTGCAACTCGCATAGTACTGTATGGTGACATCATGTCAAGATCCCATTCAAGTCTCTTCTCGTAGATAGCGAGACTGAGGCTACGACCTTCTGACATGACACATATCAATGTTCAAGGTTTGTAATGAAAAAATAAAACTTTTCTTGTCGCTATCATAGTGAAAAATGTAATACATCGAAAATGTACAGAAAATATAGTTCTCGTAATCCGTCATACCGTGGGCAGCTATTTTGATCCACCTGGACATCCCAGTATCCTAGTTACCTCGGGCATGCGCATTCGCATTTTTCTGAGTTGGAACGCTTATGCGAGAGCGAGATTGTGACGGGATCTTGGTATCATGTCACCGTAGTTACAAACCCCAAGTAATGTACCTCTGATATAAAATGCAATGAAATAAGTCCCCCCATAAAAAGTTGAAGGATAACTTAATTTAAATTAATTAGAACTCAGTACTACTTTCCAAGTGGAAGGATACAGCATTGTGTGACTTGCATCACATAGTACTGACACTGCACAATGGCATATAAGCAGTTGTGATGCGGCAAACCAAATCCTTAAAATAAATTACCTGATTTTCAATAGCGCCAGCCTGTGCAATCTTAACACTAGCAGAGTCTATTAGATTTTCGACATCAGTATCAGCGTTGTCATTTGGCGACATAGCCTTCGTCAGTGCTGCAGTGGCTTCCTGATTGGTGGACTGTGCACGGCTCAACATTTCTGTTGCTTGGCTATCTAAGTTTTCGCTTTTCTGTTGTACAAATGTAGCAGCAGAACGGAGATCAGACACACGGTTTGTGGTGTTATCATGAAGTAGCTGGGCTTCCTGTACAGTCTGCAAATAAAAAAATAAATTGCATCAACTTTGGGTGCATGCTAAAATATTACAACCTGAAAATTATTTTCGAATATAATATATATATTTCAATATAACCAGCAGAAATACAGAAGAGATCACAAAATTTAAATATCAAGAATTCATAAGAAAAAAGATGCGCTGTACACAACTCTTAAATATGTAAACATGTATTATGAAAATCCCATTCTGCGCCAGTTCCCACATGTATTGTTCAAATTTATTCTTTGACAGCTTCCCAATCTGGTTAAAACTAAAGAGCCCTTTGTGTACTCAATTCCATTTAGAGAGTGAACATTTACTTTTGAAATGTACTGCTTTGTTGTTAGAAACAAGCATTATGAGTGGATGCTCGAAATTGCAAGATTTGAATGAGAATCCCAAATAGAATTGGTCAGATTTATTTCCGGCTTTCACAACAAACAGAAACAGTTATTAGTAATGTGATAAAAATTATATATAAATTGAATCTTTTTATTGAAATCTAATAATCAATTTAAGTAACTTTAATGGGAACGCCATCACATGTCAAACTTAAATAAACTTGTCTTAGAAATCCTTACTACCGGGGTATATATATTTAATTACAACTTAGGTAAAGAAAAATTTCTGACATGTACTTGCGTACCTATCCACTAGGTAACTGGAACCAACAACCAACAAACAAACAAACAATTACCTGTAAAGCCTGTAAAGCACTCTGTCTGGCGGCTTCTGTTTTTGTTGACATATCATCGACTTGTGCTTCTAAATCTGCGATATCACCCGTTGTAGAACTGGCAGCCGATGTGATCTGTATATCAAGTTTATTTAAGTCAGACTGCAATGCTTGTAGAGTTATCTGAGCTTGCTCTAATGTACCTGAAATACATCAAAGTATATAATTTGTCAAATAAATAGTATATTATCAACATTTTAATCAGATTGTGGAACACCAAAACTAATTTATCAAACTCCCAGTGCCAACAAAAAAATCAGTCATACTGTAAGAAATATATCACTACCCACCACTGTTCAGCATGTTGTAAGAGTCGGTAATTCTCTGTTCTATTGTGTCGATTGTGTCTTTACTTCCAGCAACATTGTCAACTGCTTCATTGATATCAACGTTGGTCTCGTTGACAGCATTAGTGATGTCATTACTCAGCAGACTCATCAAGGTCTGCATTGTGCCATTCAATGATTCTATTCTTGCATTCAAATCATCTTCTTCGGCGACTGCTTCATTGATCTATTTTTTTTTTCAGAATATGACAAATTCAGATTTTGCTAGTTCAGAAAATGTGAAGGAGTTAAAATTTCAGTCGAATTCTTCAGGGATTTAGTGTTTTTCATGAAATTTATAGTTCTCGTTAACCCTTTAAGACTCCCGCCAAAATTTTAGAGTAACATTTGACATATTTTAGGTATTTCTCATCAATTTCATTATGAATTTTGGACTGAATAAACATATTTTTTTCATTGGCTACAGATCTTGATGAAAATTTGTGTAAATAAGAACACTGTAGCACATTTAACTGAGGAATTCTTTAACCTTTACACCAACGGTTCTCTCTTTTCATCACAAATTCACAAAATAGTCCTGTTTATAGTCTGCAGAAGATTGGGACAAATATAGCCAAATCTTTTGAGTTAAAACTAAAAATTGACTCAAATTGTGTCTGTTGGCTCCAAAATTAGAGTTCATTTCTAGAAACATTAAAGAATATAAGAAAAAAAGTACAAAAATTGGGCAAGAAAGTCTAGTGGTCATTAAAATCATTAAAAGGGTATAAGCTACATTTGTTTTAATTTTTCACTATTTTTAAATCCATGTCCTGATACCAAATAAAAAAAGTTACGTTACAAGGTGCAACTTTTAGTACAGTTTCATCTCGCTTTTAAACATACCACACTCAACTAAACTTACATTTGCTGCCAGCTCCATTATCACATCTTCTGTCTCTTGTAGTCTGATGTAGAATGGTCCAAGTTCTGTTGTGTTGTCTTGACTACTCAAATACCCTACAAAGTCTGTTAAGTTTTGTGTCAACTCTCTTAATTTGGTCATTTCTTCATCAATAACGTCATAGCAACTATCACATGCTGGAAGAATACACAAGATAATAAACCAATATTATTTGATGTCACTGCTTGAAGTCTTTAATGTGCAAATTTCGAGTGCCATTTGCGATATTGCATGGTGGGCTATGTGACAACGCTATGACCATCTTTCTATCACAATAGCATTATGGCAATAGGTGATTTTCCGTTCAACTGCAAGATCTCGCGAGATGCATGAAAGACACACGTCGAACGTCTGCCACAAAAATTGAACGATTTGATTTTGAACTCGAATTTCTTTATTTCGTAGCTCACATTGACCGACCGATCTTCAACAGAGGAATATTGCTTTCGAATACCCTGACTTAATCAAAATTGCCCATCATCAAATGTGTACATTACATTATTAAGCATAGAAATGCCCCCCAAAATATTTTCACGTTTGTCGAATCCCACGTGATGTTTGACGCCACTACGACGCTATGACCTTTGTTTGTTCTGTTTTTTACGTTCGATTTCACGCATAACGCGTGATTCTCGCAGTGAACGGAAAATGGTCTACTTAATGCACTATCCTAGCATTAAGCAGGCACACAATACAAACACCTGCGAACAATAACCAAAAATGTTCCACCAATTTGCATTCATTAGTGAATGATTATCAATCGGCCAGTGGATTTAGTCTTCATGACTGTGGCGCCCTCACCCAGGGTAGTGAGGGGGTCAACCTTTTTTGATGTTATCCCAGACATGATTAAACTTGGGTCTACCAATCATGAGTATGATGTAATAACCACAACAATATTTAAAAAAAATAAAATCACGAAACAAAATATGGATCACATGCATCGATCATAGCCTAACCTTTTCACCACCAGTTCTCTTTTTTCATCACAAATTCACAAAATAGTTCCGTTTTTTGAGTAAAAACTGAAAATTAACTCAAATTTTGTCTGTTTGATCTAAAATTATGGTTCATTTCCAGAAATATTGAAGAAAATATGAAAAAAGTGCAGAAAAATTTAGGCGAGAAAGTCTGGTGGTGAAAAGGTTATTAAAGTCACTATTATAAGGTTAACTCAAAGGTAATATAGGACAGAAATAATGAAGTACAAGTGTACATGTATTATAAGTGACACAAGTTAAAAGAAGCATCATGAAGTGTTCATATCTATTGTTATTTATTGAATCATCTATTGATGCAGTTTCTATAGAAACAGCCCATGTCACAAACAATGTTGTATACAAGGATTCTACTTCAGACACTATGTCAGTAGTTGTAGGTATATGCAATACTTACGAACACATCCTGAATCATAATCGTAAAAATTGTCTTTGCATCGAGCACATTGCTTTCCTCCATAATTACCAATACATGTACATTGACCGCTACCATTGTCACACTCCATGACTCCACCAGTACCAGTTGTATTACAGTTACACGCTAAGTAATAAAATCAAATCATTATCTATACGATGTACACCCTGTAGAAATCATCAAGAGGTCGTCTATCAAGCCCCCCCCGAAAAAAAATCAAACTTCAAACTATACGTGTAATTAGCACAATAGCCTGTCTCATTGTTTTAGCTCTACTAAAAAGCTAAAATTTCACCCGTTTTTAGAAGCTTTTACAGTGAGAATTATACCCTACAGCTACATGAATATACAGTGATAACAGTGAGTACAATTTCTTGTCTGAATTTTTTTGCTGAAGCCAACTACAGTGATTTTAGATTACTCTAACTCTGACTACATGCTGTCATGTACACTCCAAGGATAACAGGAAGGAGAACAAGCAGAGTAAACAATGGCTACACTAATAAATTAACTGGAGGACAATAGAAGACAACCAGTAAAGTTAACTGCTCAGAAGAAAACCATTTAGAGGACTCCCAAGTCTAATTGAGCCAAATCATCTGTAAAACTGTTACATGTTTGTGCATTGTATGACCTATAATGCTCAAAAAACAAAATGGACACTTGAACAAAGAACAACAATGAGAACAAAGGAGAGACAAATTACTCAAAACAAAGCACAGTGAAAGCCTACTACGAAACTGGTCAAATCAGGTCAAATTTGAAATGGGCAGTAATACTGTAGATGTCATAGCAACAATACCAGTTGAAACATTTAAGGAAGAGAGCTTGAAAGATTTCTTCAGTTCCTTTGACCAGTTACAAGGAAACAATGTGGAGGTCAAGATAAACAAACAATCAGTTACATTGATATCAAATAGGAACTATACTGACATCTGGTTAAGCTGTTTGAAGAAAGCGTACCCA